CCCGGATTCGATGACATGTAGAATTACTGTGAAACCCTCTAAATTGGGATTAGACGTTTAAAATAAGAGTATAGCTAGAATTAAACTTTCATGTTTATGTATGGGTGTGATGTATCGTAGTAGTGTGTCCGTGTGCTCATGTATATACGAAAATGGTAATTCTGTCGGTAATACATAGATGTCGGTAGACCCGCTACGGGATCCTCTTAAGGGGTTATAAGAATTTCTGACACTTGGAAATAAACTTTATTTAGTCCAATTAAAGTTCTAATATATGTACATAAACGTGCGTATAATTGAGGAATATTTTCATAACTAGAACTTTATACTGGAGTTTAAATGGGCGAGAGCAAATTATTTTCTTGAATTCCTTAATTCCGAGTTTTAGCGGACGAGTGGCTTCGTTTGCATTGTTACCGCGTTACGCTCGGAATTCGTTAGGAAAGTATCCATTACAGCCGTACCACCGACGAATGCAGCGCGCATATTCATATGTGATTAGAAAATAGAACAAATAATCATACAGTTATAACTGTGTATAATTATACATAATTATAATTATCTACCGAACAAAAGTTATAATATACAATTATCTACTGTGAGGTAAAGAACATTTTTTAAATCGGTGATATAATCTTTATTAACAAAAGATGCGTATACAAGAGGGTTTGCGCGAGCGGATGCGTTGAAACATATAGTTAGCGAAAAATATAGCTAGAAAATATTTGCTCGGAACGTCCTGAATTATCGAGTACGAATCGAGTACGTTATTCTAATCAAAACGCTCGAGAAGAAAGCGATGGAAATAGATCGGCCTTGTAGTATCCACGTTATCCGCGAACAGAGTATGCGTTTCTCGCAACTCCATTAATAAATGTTTCTTATGTGATCGGGTGTACGTAATGAATAGGCGAATGCATAAAATTACAAAGAGCTACTTCCGCAGAGCTGTGTTTCAACTAGGTGTATTCGAGGAAGAAACATGAAGGAAAATGTGCAACTTATGACATCTGCAAAATATCATTTTTATCGGTTGCATTGGTAACTGAGGCAGTTCGTCAAATTGTTGCTCCGCATTTGGTATCTGATCCGAATTTGATCACCTTACCCTACCACGAACTCTAATCAGTTTCGCTCCTAAGATGATCGAGTATAACGCTCGCTGCAAAATAGCGTGAACGACTGCCATTTTAATTGCACAAGGCCTAATTAAACGCCATGTTACTCGCTTGTTATCTCATCCTAACGTTTCTTCTTGAATTCCCAGTTGGCCGTCACCTTCGCCGCACCCCGTGGGTTGCTTTTTAGCCTCTACTTTCATTGCTCGTAATTTTTTCATTCTATTGATCGCGTCGTTAATTCTTTGTACACTCTATTACATATTTTATTCGGAATGTATTTTATACATACACGTTGCTTTTGCATGAACTAATTAATATCGCACGTTCTTCATACGCTATTATATAAGGTGTCTTTAAAAAGTTTTTTTTGTAGAATTGCATATTTTCGAAATATTTTCCTGTTAAGATTTTAAAAAGACTCACCCCGTACAGGATGCCTAAAATTAATTTTATGCACACGCTCTCTGCTATATTTAAAATCAATCGCGTTTATTTTCTTCCGAAATAATCCGAATTCAATTTCCGAAGTAAATATAATCGATTTTTCAAGCGTTCCCCACGTCGGCAAATGGGATTGCGCGGCGTGAAATGCGTTTAAGGGGATCTCTCGCCTGAACGTGCACGCGTGCATACGTCTCGCGGTATTCCGCGTATGCTTCGCATCGCGGACGCATTGTGCGCGCGCGACAGTTTAGTTACACACGGCGGTGGATTACGGACGCGCGCACATTCGAGGCGAAATCCGCTTTATCCGGGAACACCGCGTCCTCCGACTAGAAAACGCCGGTCCGGGCGAGTATTAAGGTATCCCGCGCGTTTCTTGGTCGCGTAATATTCGCGCGGACGCATTAAATCGCGAATGCAACGCGGGAAACGCGCCTATAAAGAGCAGAGCGTTGAAACGATAATGCTGTTGCGAGAAACGACGCACGATTATCGGGAGGGTGATTCGCGCGTTTGCAAGTGCCCCGTAAACGTCACTTGAACGTACCGTTTAACAGTGGTTGATTTAATCGCGCGGTCTTACCGAGTCCCATTTTTCTCGCGCATTATATTCCCGACGGCGGGATTAATACTTTCGCACGTTTACACGCCGCCGCTCTCCGTTTGAATTCTCGTCGCAATTGTTTAGGCGACTCTATCTTACAATTAGTCCGTCTCTTATTAAATGTATCGAACGACAGTTCGAAATTTATTGAAATAGCTGTTACAATCTTGGATCGTATCTTGGAATGAAGTGAATTAAACACAATGGTAGAAACTTGTAATGAAATGAATTAAATTCTATGGAAGAAACGCGTCATTGTTGCTAGTTGCTATAAGAAAATTAACAGAACAAAATATATTGTACATTTTTATGGGATCTTATGTAAAAATAAATACAATAAAAAGAGGAGAGAGTTCAAAATGAGGGATTCGGTATTCAAGAGCCATGTCTCGGCCTCCATTTCCACGAGAGAAATTTATCTGGAATTTTTCGAAGACGTAGTTAGAGGAAAGTTCCCTATTACGAGATAGGATCCTGATACGGGATAGCGGGGTTTCAAACGCGCCACGATTATTGCGCCAGTTCAGACGGTCATCATTTGGATAGCGCGCTGCTGAGTCATGTAATCGTCCGAAATGTTGGCCTGTATTTATAACAGCAAAGTTTCTTGTACCTCGGCTTGTATTTCGTCTACGGTGTTTGATTCGTTTCATTCTGTCGACTCGTTACGAGATAACAGCTATTTAGTTTCAGCGACTTGTCGTTTATCACATTGTACACGCCTGTAGTTGATGTAATAACGCATTCAGCCGGGCGATGCGCGCCAGTTAAAGCCTGTTGCACGCTAATTCATCTGGATGTAAAAGCATAAGCGTCTTGATTGACGAAATGCTCAGCATGTATTCTCTCTACCCGACAATGCGATAACTTATGCCGAGCGCATATATTTTGCTGATCCCACTGCTTATGTATGATAATACGGCATTACTATGCATACGCCTTTATGTCAATTTGCGTACGACAGCCTTTAATGTGCATCGGTGCGCACCGCTGCATTCGAATTCGCTATAGCAAGCAATCTGCTTTGCCGGGCATTTCGTTCGAATCTGTCAAATTGTGAGCACGTGAAACGAGCCTTTTTTTTATTTGTTCTCTTTAGCACGGATTTAAAAGACTCGTGCTAAAAGCCCGAAGCCGCGGCTCGAGACTACGATTACAACAAAGCGTACAATTTTCAATTGAAGTCGCTCTTAACCGTTGATTGAGCTTGTCGACCCTTTATCTTATCGCAATGCTGAAATATTGCGATGTCATCTGTACGCGCGAGAGTTGCCGCGGATTATTTTGCGATGCTGCGAGGCGAAAATTAGCGAGACGACCTCGTTGATATGCGGCTGCCACTTGGCGCGCGTACGCAACGATAAAATTGACTGAAACGCTCTAATGGACGTTCGTTGTCTCCCGACGAAACCGGATCTAATTCTAAACACTCGGGGTATTTAGCTGGCACCGTATGCCTCTGTTCCCCGTCGACGTGTTCCTAACATATGCGTGCTATGTGTGTTCCGCGAGGGGTTGATAACACGCCACCTGGCAAGTTGTGTTATACCAGCCGAATATATCACTGTAGCTCGTAATGAGAGAGTTATGTCAGCGAGAGATCAATAGTCGCCTCCGTTTTATATCGTTGCTCCGCGGAAATCCCGCGGAGGCTTCGACGAGGGCCAATTTGAAATCGAGAATGTCATCGCGACGTGCAACAGTCTAATCTCAATTATCAATAGAGCGCAGGGAAATCCAGGTACAAACCTGAGGTAATAGTTTTCGCAATAAATTTTCTGTATTATTAAAATGCCAGTTATGGTACAAAAAAATACTAAAGTTGCTTATCTCAATTTGATGGCAAAACAATGCCCGTTTGGGCGAGACTCACGTATCACTCCTCCTTTCGTTTGTCGGCGCTAACGGAATATCGGATTTCGTAAATCCAATTCTGTGCACAGAGACCTTTATCGTCGTCATTGCTGCACACCTCATTTTAATAGCGAATGTATATTATACTACGTCATCGTGTATAAAATAATTTTGTGCTTCCGAATATATATACGTGCGTGGGTGTGTGTCTGCCGGCATTAATATCGACGCGTAAAGTAATAACAATATAAATTTTATTATAAATGTGCATATGCAACGATTAAATTACGTTTATGTCAATCCGTAATTATCGCTGCCCGAAGATATATATATATATAAAACGTAAAGCAATTACGCCGAAATAATGCTTGCCGACGCGTTATTCGTTTAATTTGCCTTTTCGCAACTAGGATATTTCGTGACGACACGTAGAAACGTATTTTTATATACTCGAGCGACGTACGATATCGCCGAGGAGCTTGTTTATGAATAATGTATGCACGGGCGTGCATCCCTTGCATGTAACTTACAATCTTTATTTTTTCCTTTTACGCGTAATCGCCGGCATATGGCGGCATGACACGCAGTCAAGAAGACGGCAATTATAATCGCGACAGCAAGAGCCAGTATTTTAATAACTTCCAGAAATTGTAAGCTCTCTCTCCCTCTCAACAATTGCAAATTTCGAGAACGATACCTAAAACCTGACGCGTTTAATTATGTAAAATGTACACGGGGAAAAGTTCTCGTTAATAAATTTAGTTGCGGTATGATTTTCGCGTGGCAATTTAATTTTGACGTTGCTGACATTTTCAACGACGAAATATCGAAGGGTTCGAGGTATCGGCGTGTGTTTTCGATTTGATACGTATTTCGCTGGGGCATGTGCCGCGCGCGAGCCCGTTTGCGTTGTAAAAAAACGCGATTCTCGACGAAATAGTTACCTCGTGAGCCCGTCGGCTGCCACGAAGACTGAGCCTGTGGCTCCACTCCCGCTTCGGGAAATCCATGCCGTGTTTCTCCGTGTCCACCGGTCTTTTGCTTCCAGACGCTGGGGAGCCCTCCGGGGCAGCGAGATACGGTGCTGTCCGTTATTTCATGTTTCTCCTGCGCAAAAAGAAAAATTTGCTACACCAAAATTCTCTCTTTCTCTCTCTCACTCTCTCTCTCTCTCTCTCTCTCTCTCCTATGCCGTCGCTTTTCACATTTGCTTCGATCGTGCCTCAAATTAATTAACACTGGATGCGCAACTTAACGTTCGAGGTAACGTCGTTAATAATTCGCGTACCGAAGAGCTTTTAGATACCGCGTTCTGTTCAGCTTTACGTAGCATGCAATGTTGCAGCGATGAGATATGTTCGCATGGATCAATGCAACCTTACAGCATATTCTTCTTTAATAGCGAAGTATTCGCAACTAGCTTCATAAAAAGTGATGGAGGCATCTAAGACAATGGATACGCTTTCGAGCGAACTCGCGATAAAGATGCAACACGGGACGTTGGGTCATTTTCATTAAATCTTTAGTGCTATAAGCACTGAGTAACAGTATAGGTACTTCGAACTTCTACGCGAGTTACGTTTGCCATAATATTCGTTTTCAATCTTGTTTTATCTATCTTTAACGGTAGCCGTTATAATGCTAATATTGTTTCGAAGAATATCCTTACATAAATATGTATTCTACATTCTTAAGTTGTTTAAAACAGATATCCCAAACTTATCGCTAAATATTCAAATATTTCTGCACAATTAATTAAGAACGTATAATTAAAACTTTAACTTCTTACTTTTAGATAGTTAATAATTTAATTTTTAATTAATTAAAAACTGGCGACGTACATGTATCGTTTGGAAATTAAATTCGTCTTAAATAAAGTGGTTAAAGTAGTCGCGTGTGCGTATAAATCTTGACAAGGAAATCTAATTTCCTGCGGACAATGTAATCGTCGGACAGACAAAATTTCGGGACAACTTTACCCGGCGAGAAATTTCGTCTGGCCTGTAACGAGCGTTTACAGTGACCATATCGCGTGTCTGGACAAATAATTTCCAGGCGTCTCTACTGTTTACATTCGCGCAAGAGAGAAATCCAAACCGCACAAATGTTCCGACTGAAAGAGAGCAAATTCTTGATATTTCTTCGTGAAATACCAAGCGATGTATAATTTACGATTCTATAAATATTACACGGTCTTGTTTCGTTTTCGTTCTGTCCGCGACAGAAGGCATATTTTTTAAAATCGCGGTCTCTCGAAATAGAAATTGCATTCTTATCGAGTGCAATTGCAAGGAGAGAAAGAAAAAAAAGACGAGGAAGAATAAAAATCAGTTAGATATTTGAGCTTCAATCAATCGAATCGCGCCTATCGGGTTGGTTGTAAAATAATTTTCGATATGCCGCGTAAACAAAGTTGCCACTTGTGTTGCGGCAAATGTGAAATACGTAATAACAGCATTTGTTTTTACGTCCCTCGTAATGATACGCGCGGTGCGGTATCTGCGGCAATCAATAAGCATTAATCTCGCGGCTTGTTATTCATAACATTGCACCGCCAACGTATGCACCGCTACGACAAATATAATCATTTCGACTGTCGTCGGCGCGCGCGTACTGCGAACTTCGTTGATTGGGATGCGCGCGTGATATCGCAGCGGAGAAATTATTAGTACCAACGATAGCCAAAGTGTATTATATTATGGCACGAGCTCTCGGAGCGCACACCGCGCGCGGGATCGATAGTCGACGAAAGTAATTTGCCGCGTGGCTCGCGAACATGCGGCCGCCGCGTCGCCGATATATAATAATTTATTCCGTCTACATTATTTCTTCGGTTTCTCATTGTTCGTACGCGCTTATTCAGGAACTCCTTTCCCCGATCAGGGTAGCGATCGTGTAACCTTTCCCTAGAATGGAAACATGAAAAATGAAAAGTTTCACGCAAATATGAGAATTTCATTGGTTGATTGAGTTTACGTGAAATTTTTCACGTGGAAAATTACACGATCGCTACCCAGGACCCTAATTCTGCCGTCACAATCTAAAAGTATCTCCATTTTTTGGCCATTGCAGTTAACTCACTTTCTGTGTTTCTTAGAGACATATCCGTTATCCTACAAGGACATACTGCAACGTGTATAAGTTATTTTATGTTAATCTAGTGCTCTTACTGCTTTCTAGCCTTGTAGGGCAACGGATATTTCTCTAAGAAACATATAAAGTGAGTTAACTACAATGGCCAAAAAATGGAGATACTGCTTTTTAGATTATGATAATAGCAGAATTGTCGCGACCAGCGGTTTGCGCCGTTGTTCACGTTTGTAAAAATGATGTGTACCCTTATAGAAATGTAAGCGAAATAATTAATAGAAAATTACATCAGTAATTTCTAATAATCAATTATTGAACTCTACATGGAGCGAATTGTTACTTACAATTTACCTTGAAAATCATGTAATCGTGGTACAACATATGGCATTTCGGAGAACTTTATGAGAGTTTTTTTGTGAAAATTTACCATACAATTTACTAGTAAATTATACTTAGTGTACATTTTACTAGTAGAATGTATGGTAAAATTTCAAAAAGCTCTCATAAAGGTCTACAAAATGCCACGTTGTCCCACGATTACATAATTTTCAGGGTAAATTTTAAGAGAAATTCTCTCCTTGTAGTAATTGTTCAGTGCTTTTTTTCGTTTTTAGTTGTTACATTTCTGTAAAAGTGCCTCAACAGCCCCGTCGCAATTCTTATTACTTTATTATAATTGTTTATATATTTTGTTTAATTATTATTCTACGAATGGTAATTTTCTTATTACTCTTAGACTCTAAATGCTATTGTTTCTTTTCCGTCGCGGAGGTTATCGATACGTTTCAATTTATCCCGCGACACTTTCGATAATAAATCTCCGCAAATTCGTTATTTGCCGCTGTACGTATCGATCTCGGCAGATATTTTTGTTATTCATTATGCACGGAGCGAAATCACGCGCTTGGTTCAGCCTCCGTTGGATTAACCGCGCGCGCGCGCGTTAGGACGTCGTGATGAATGAAGCGCGGGATTAAGGTTTCCCTCTCGCGACGCGTCGACCGCGGGGACAAAAGTGCCGGCCACGGCGACAGTTTGTTGCACCGAACGCGGCTCAGCGACAAATTAATTAACTTTCAAAGCCGCCGCCGCCGCGCGCCGCCGCCGAGATCGGCGGCGCGACATTGTTAAATCGAGGCTCGCAGCTGCGGAACGGCCCGGCCCGGCTGCCACCGGCCGCGGCCAACCTCGTTAACGGCGTGACAAACTAATTGAGCCCGTGAATAATAATTATGATTGGTGGCGCGGAGATGCGTCAGCTCGCATCGTGGAGCCGCGCGCCGCCGTCAACCTCGACTTGCGCGCAGCCGTCCGGTCGTCTTATCGTTCCCCCTCGTCTTTTAACTCGTTAGACCGCGAAATCTCGCCGCGGAATAAATTACCGCGCCGCCGAGATGCCCGCACACTTTACCCTACGCATAAATTATCATCGCCTCAATTACTGACCGACAGCCCGATACGATGACGCAGCTCCTCCAGACGCCGAGATAAGGTTGTTCCGCTGCAACGCGCTCCCGACCGTGTCCGGTGCAATAATTCCTCTTTATTCCGCGTAATACGCGAGTGCACGTTTCGAAATTCACTGCGTAATATTTTGTCCCGCCTCGCGGATTTATTCTGGGGCGAGATGGAAATTTCACGGCTGTATGATATTTCGGGCGGAATAACAAATTATTTGTTTGCAGTATTCTTCACGCGTGCACTCACATTTAATAAATGAACATATTATGCAGATGAATTTTATGTAATTTAAAGCTCACTTTCGGCAATCTATAATTTATTAGAATTTGGAGTAGAGTTTTATGTAGGATAATTTTACGTGTCGCGTAACAGGAAAAAGGTCTGAAGAATCGGTTCACGCGCGCACACACGTCAGGTTTATGTATCGAAAAATCCGAAACGCATGCCAAATTATAAATAAAATTTCCTCCCGAAATCTGATACAAACTGTCCGGGGCGGACCTGAGATAAAACAAAAAGCCACTAAAATAATGACAATGGACAATGGACGAATTTCGAAATTGGTTTATTTAATAATATTTGCGAAAAAATCTTACATCTCATCCATGTGGAAACATTTGGTGAAAAATTCAAACCCCTTCGTAGGTAAATCATGAAACGGTTCCGAAGGGGCCGATGCAAAAGTAAGCAGGGTCGGACGATGGGAAAAAAACGCTATGGACAATGTATATTCTTGCTCGCGCTGCATTCTGTGTTGTTCCCCAAGAAACAATTTACGAGGAGCATTACATGCGTAATTACAAATTTGCACGTGGATGCACGGCCGCCTGTGAAAGCGGGACTCTTGTGTGTGCGTTCTAATTGGGTTCTAATCAAGTAACGACTAACAAGCGTGCGGAAACGTGAAACATTTCGCGTCGACGTAGCTTCCGGAATTCCGATGTTAATAACATGTACACGGCGACACATTTGTCTCTCGTATCTTATCGATGGATCTCCCGTTTCTCGTCTAATAATAGCGCCCCTTTTACCGAAACGTTCCCTTCGTGCTACGAAGGATCCCGAAAGTGTCCTCGATGCAAAGTAAATTTGTTCCGACGCTTTGCGCCGGAAAGCTCCGATTGATCTGGAAATCTCGACGGGATCGCAACGGAATTAGAGCGCAAAAACTGTAACCGTTGCACGATCGCGTGCGTATCGGGCTAGGAACTTGCAGCAGCATTTAACATCTCGGCTCGAGCTCGAAGCTTCGTGTAACTTGTAATTTGGTGGGATACCGCGTTACAGATACGTGGAAGGCGAGGGGAAACGTTTAAATCGTACGTTCGGTCTCGTACATACACGAGAGATAAAATTCGCCCCGTTGCATAAGTGAGGCTCTAACTCTCGTGCGCTCGTGAACTCGCATTTATCATAATCGTGACGCCTTTATCTGTGCGAGCGAGGGTTAAGTGGAGTGGACCTGACGTGTCCGGACGAATACGCCCCGCGAGCACGAACCCGTGTCTCGATTAAGGATTAACATCGTCTAACAGGAACGGTTGTTGACCCTTGGC